AAAGTAGTGGAGGCATATTTTAATTTACTTTATTTTTCAATAATATATTATAGCAATCAGAATAAAAAATGCCATGTCACATATACATCAATGCTGATATTTTGTGCATATGTCATATTTACACTTACAATTTCTAATCAATTGAACCATTGCAAGTTTATAGACGTAGTGCTTTTTGCAGACCTTTTCCGTTGCATGTTTTTCTTGGAATCAATTTACTTTACATTTTGAAAAACTTGTTCTATGCTGTCTAGGTTAGTGCACAGGTTTTATCTCATTTTCATCTGTAAGACCTTAGCAATTACACCATCTTTTCCATTCAACGAAACCAGGTAAAAGCATGTAGAGCCAGGCCATTGAAACTTGGGAGTTACATTTACAGTGCACTTCTTCCACTAAATTAAGTGAACCCGAACTTCAGTTAACATCTAAACCTGCATGTTAATTATTAGTGCCAGTCTCAAACGCAAGCTTTTGATTCTTCCTACCTTGTTAACATTAGAGACTGCATAAGTTGATGATATTGATTTTTAGGTTCCCGCAAGCTGGAAATTTCTGGTTGATGTAATTTTGTTCTCCTTGCAGCATAAAGCTACTTTAATTGAGGAACTTGAAGAAAGGATGCAGAAGCTTCATGAAGAACAGGCATCACTTATCTTAGAAAGAAGAACTGCTGATAATGAGGATGAAATGATGGAGGTAGAAGCAGCAGTGAAAGCAGCGATGTCAGTTTTCAGTGCAAGAGGTAATTCTGCAGCAACAATTGATGCTGCCAAAAGTGCTGCAGCAGCTGCATTAGTTGCCTTGAAAGATCAAGCAAATCTGCCAGTGAAGTTAGATGAATTTGGCAGAGATATCAACTTGCAGAAACGGATGGATATGGAGAAAAGGGCTAAGGCTCGTCAACGCAGGAAAGCTCGTTTTGATTCGAAGAGATTGTCATACATGGAGGTGGATAGTTCTGACCAGAAAATTGAGGGAGAATTGAGCACGGATGAGAGTGACAGTGACAGTGAAAAAAATGCTGCTTACCAGTCAACCCGTGATTTGTTGCTCCGGACTGCTGAGGAGATCTTCAGTGATGCTTCTGAAGAATATTCCCAACTTTCGGTGGTGAAAGAAAGATTTGAAACATGGAAGAAAGAATATTTTGCAAGCTATAGAGATGCTTACATGTCACTCAGTGCACCTGCTATTTTTTCTCCTTATGTGAGACTAGAACTCCTAAAATGGAACCCGCTTCATGAGGATGCAGATTTTTTTGATATGAAATGGTATACTTCTAGTGTTGCTAATAATTCCATTCAAATATTGAAGAACCTTTTATGTAGGTTTTTCTTTTTTTTCTTGATTCTCAGAGTTGTAAATTCATTCTATTTGCATAGAATTCTGCTCCCAATAATTTGACAATGCCGCACACATACTTTAGATTCATCTTTTTTGTTTTCAATTAGCGCTAACTGTTCTTTATTTCCTACTATTCAGGCACTCTCTACTATTTAATTATGGTCTGCCAGAAGATGGAAGTGATCTCAATCCAGATGATGTTGATGCTAACCTTGTACCTGGACTAGTGGAGAAGATTGCAATTCCTATTTTGCATCATGAGATTGCCCATTGTTGGGACATGCTTAGCACTCGAGAGACGAAAAATGCCATTTCTGCTACAAGCTTGGTAATAAATTATGTTCCGGCTACTAGTGAGGCTCTATCAGAGCTATTAGCTGCAATCCGCACCCGTCTAGCTGATGCAGTTGCTAGCATAGTGGTACACAACTTTAACCTGGAAGTCATTTTCGAACACTGCTGACTTGCACACACAGACACACTCCCTATTACTCTTATTGCACTTCTGTTATTCATTTTCTGTATCACAGGTCCCAACATGGAGCCTGCTTGTGCTGAAGGCTGTGCCTAGTGCTGCACAAGTTGCAGCGTACCGGTTTGGAGTGTCTGTTCGTTTGATGAGGAATATCTGCTTGTGGAAAGATATCCTGGCATTGCCAGTTCTTGAGAAGCTTGTCCTTGATGAGCTTTTGTGCGGGAAGGTACTGCCTCATGTTCGAAGCATTGCATCAAATGTTCATGATGCAGTCACAAGAACTGAAAGAATTGTTGCTTCTTTATCTGGGGCCTGGGCAGGTCCAAGTGCCACCAGTGATCACAGGTACCCAGAACATTCGTAAAACTTATCTTGTATTGAACTTTAACTGGTGCAATTGCCATTTGTATGAATTTCTTTGACAACATTCATTGATTTGACTGAGTATGTATTATTATGGTATGGTCTGATTGCCTTGCTGCTGTATTTGTTAGAATTAATTTAATTAAAATACTGGTTTCTGGTTTCAGACACAGGTTTGAAGAACAGATATTTCCATTTACGAGTTGTTTTAGGGTTTAAGATAAATGATGATGAATTATACCTTTCTCTATGATGTTTCTTAATATCCTGGTGCCTGATTTTTTTTTTTTTATTATGGTATGGTGATGAATTTTGGGCTTTGGGCAATTTGTGAATTAAGAATTACCTTCATCAGACATGGTCCATCCCGTTGTTTGTCATCTTCCCCTTCTTTTTTCATCTTCTCCTCTGTTTTTCCCATCCATTAAAAGATTTTGGCATTGATGATATGGTGTTCTTATTTTTCTTTGGTTTTCTTATCTTTCCTTGTCTTGGCTGTTCAAACAGTTAGTTTGGTGATGGGGCTGTACCATCAGCAAGAGCACTTTCTTGCCTTTATCTGTGTTGTGTTGTCAAAGCCCAAGATTCTAGGGGGAACCTTTTTTCTTTGCTTAAAGACTCAAAAGTCTATATTATTAAGTTCAATTTGGAAAAGTAGGGGAGTAGAATCTAACAAAACAAAGATGGTATATGGGAAATATAGGTCCAAGTTTGTCAACTTTTTGAGCCTTACAGCCCCAACAAAGCTGTACACACTATGTTTCAAGTTTTTTTCTTTTTAACGTGCTGCTTCTTTTCCCAATTTTTCCTTACCCTCTTGTTTTATGTTTTTGTAGATTCAGTGTCTAACATTTACCTGTTTATGAATCAGCAGCCACAAGTTGCAGCCACTGGTGGATTTCATTTTATCAATAGGAAGGACACTGGAGAAAAGACATGTATCTGGTGTCACCGAGACTGAGACTAGTGGACTTGCTCGTCGATTGAAGAAGATGCTCGTTGAGGTGAATGATTATGACAATGCTAGGGACATGGCTAGAACCTTCCATCTGAAGGAGGCGTTGTGAATCAGGTGTGCAATTGGTGACCAAGACTTGCAAAGGTGATCCATATATTTGGAAGTTGCTAAACCTCGTACATACTGGACCTTCCATTTGGAGGAGACATGGATCAAACAGGTCAGTCAGGATCATAATTTGAATTGGGTAGCTAGAAGAAGATGCTGTGACTTGGCTTGTGCTTTGTATTTAGAGGAACTGGGAACTTCTAGGGAATTACGCGGACCTCTAATGGCAGGAAGAGACAGTGAGCTCTGGCATTTTAACTGCTTTTGAAGTGGTTTGCTGTCAAATGCTTTTCTAACTGGAAACTCTTGTTGGGTTGTTCTGGAAAATGTTGCAAGTTTTTGCGACCATTACGTGATTTCTGCTGGAAGAAAGTGTTCTCGCTTCAAATCACAAATTTAAGCATGATTTACTGTTAATGTCTCATGAATTCTACGAGTCCTAAATGTCGATGCTTACAGTTAAAATTGAAGACTTTATAATTTTGGGTTATTTCATACATCAACGTAGAGTCAGGTGATGTTTCACAGATTGGAATGCAAGGTGTTAAAGAAATCAATCATCAGATAACATCCTGTCAGCTTGCACTTTTCAGATGTGACGGGGAATAGGTAGCGATTATTCTTTTGGCTCCCCAGCCCTGGAAATACTCGACATAATAGAGGCTTAAAGCTGCCCCGTTTTACTGGCACTTTTTTATTATAGCAAGAGCTGGTCATTACAGGTACATGGAGGGCTGCTTGTTATTTTATATGCTAGCCGCCATCAGCATTGCCGAATCAAAGAGGTAAAAATGTTAAAGAAAAAAAAAAGAGTTCCCGATAAGACTGCTCCGACAGATCAAGAAAACAATCAAACCCTCGAATGCTGTTCACAGAATTATACTGCTGCCTCTCTCCAGCCTAGCCCGCCAAGGCATCTTGCATATCCGCGCTCTTTTCATTATCCACTTTCTGACAATAGAGGCATCTCCAATGCGATGCCAGGTTTGCAAGGTAACACACTGTTGCTGATTTCATAGCAGCTTCAAAAGCCACCTCAGCAGATTCTGCATCCCTGGCCTTGGCTAAAGCTGATCCCTTACATGACAGACCATGCCTTGCCGGGATGGTCTCGTCACCACAGGAGCAATCGAATGAATCAGTACAGAACAACCATAGATAGGGTAGAACAGCTGCTTGTCAATGGGCTGTCGTCAGCCTTGTTAGTGTAAGCAAGGCTCTCCAATGGGATCGTAGGCAGTGGAGTTGATGCTTTACCTTATCATCTACTTGAAGATAATTCCAGCGAATGAGCTTAAGTAGCATCGTTTTGCCTTTTCTCCTTGCGCATGATTTGATGGTTTTTGTATTAACGAAATACATTTTATGCCTTGCTCGGTTATCTCTCTACCTGGTGAAGTCATTTAGTATGGTGAGATGATCAAAAGACTAGGGTTATCCTTTTTCGAATTTTTCCGGAAGAGTGTTATCGCTTGCTTGGGCATGAACAAGCCAAAATTATAAGCCAGGCGCTTGTCTTTATAAGCAGATGGAAGGGCTCTGCGCCTTATTTTATGAGCTCTTGGGATATCATTTCTGAATTCTGCTGGAAGAAGTGTTATCGCTTGCTCCAATTATAATTTTGAGCCTGAACTCCTCGATAACAAGTTAGGCTGGAAGGGCTCTCTGCCTTAATTTATGAGCTATTGGAATATCATTTCTAAAGTGTTATCGCTTGCTCCAATCATAATTTTGAGCATGAACAACTCAATAATAAGCTAAACGCTTTTTTTTTTAAATAAGCAAATGGAAGGGTTCCGCGCCTTATTTTATGAGCTCACCACCCGATCAAAGCGAAGATAAAAAAGAGTACATATAACATGACTCGGGAAAGATAAAAAGGAAATGTTCCGGTCCTCAAAATAATTGTTCACGCGGAATTATAAGCATAAGAAGATACCATCCGATAGCAATAAACTTCCATCTTGCTGCCCTCTCTGACCATGTCCACCTCATTTCACTAAACATATTTTTATAACAGAGGCAGCTCCAATGCGATGAAGTGCAACAACTGCGTCACCAAGCTTGCACAATCCTCTCTTCGTTGCTGATTTTAGAGCAGCTTCCAAAATCACCTCGGTAGATTCTGCATCTGTGGCCTTGGCAGATCCTTCAGCCAAAAGGGGAATCAAGCCCCTGTATATCAGACTATGCCTCGCAGGGGTCTCATCACTGCAGGTCCAGTCAAATGAGTCAGTTGTCAGTACAGGAACAACCACGGAAAGGATTGGAACAGCAGGCCTGTACTTGGCAACCAATTTGGCTGTGGTCCCGCCCCGTGTTAACACCACAATGAGCTTTGCTCTGGCTTTGTTGGCGGTACGCACAGCCGAGGATGCAAGGCTCTCCAATGGGCTCATAGGAAGTGGAGTTGATCTTATCATCTCCTTGAAGATGGCAGCATAGTCCAGGGAAGATTCTGCTTCGATACAAATTCGGCGCATGGTCTTGACTGCAAGCTCTGGATAGGCCCCAGCTGCGCTCTCACCACTGAGCATAACACAGTCAGTACCATCAAGGACAGCGTTGGCAACATCAGTTGCTTCAGCACGGGTTGGCCGAGGAGACTTGATCATGGACTCGAGCATCTGAGTAGCAGTAACAACAGGCTTTCCCACAATATTGCACTTGTATATCATCATCTTCTGTGCTAGGAAAATCTTCTCAACTGGAATCTCCATTCCAAGATCACCACGAGCAACCATGAAGGAGTCTGTCTCACGCAAGATCTCATCAAAGTTAATCACTCCCTCCTGGTTCTCCACCTGACAAACCCAAAAGGGTTATATTATTTATTACTTGATCCATAGTAAAACAAGCATGATAGAGAAACAAGAAAAGAACTTACGAAAACAATTATATAAACTAACATCCTCGATATAGAAATGCAGTTTCAGGAATATATAAACTCAATTATGCCTCAACACATATATGGGCTCTGTTATGTCTTCAAGCTGAATACAAAAAGGGTGGCATTCTACCTTTGACATTAACTGAATGTGCTTGGCATGGGGCCCAAGAACCTTACGCACATGAACAAGGTCGGAGCCCTTGCGTACAAAAGAAAGGGCAATCATATCAATGTTGTTGGGAACACCCCATCCCAAGATGTCTTCCTTATCCTTATCAGTCAGCGTGGGAAGATCCACAACAACACCAGGAAGATTAACATTTTTTCTCTCACCAAGCATTGCAGTGTTCTCACAACGGCACCTGACAGTTCCAGCCTGTGGATCACAAGATAAAACAGTGAGGGTGATGGTGCCATCTGCACACAAGATGGTATTTCTTGGCTTGATGTCCACGGGCAGTTTTTTGTAGCTCATGGAGATCATGTCTGTGTCACCCTTGATGCTGTAATCAGTCGTGATGGTGATTTCCTGACCTTCCTTCAGTTGAATTGGGTTTCCATCCTTTAGGAAACCGGTACGAATTTCAGGTCCCTGAGACAAAAAGTTTAAGAGGTAGATACATAAACTTAGGACTGTCAGTACAAGGAACAAGAAAGACAGGAGAAATTAGGGAGTGGGAAAGTTGTGTTTTATCAGGAAAACAATGCACTGATTGATTCATTCCTAATAAAGATTTTATGCTTCAATATCTAACAAAAAGAGAAAGAAAAGAAGATGGGGCGATCGATCTCATCATTTCAACAAATAAATGGTGGTTTAAATAAGGAGGAGGAGAACGAGAGTTTATAATTACGATGAGGAGGAAGAAAGAGCAGACCTTGGTATCGAGCATGACAGCGGCGAGGATGTTAGTGTTTTGCATGGCAATCCTGAGATTGTTCAAGGTCTCCTGGTGGTACTCGTGGGTGCCATGGGAGAAATTGAAGCGAGCCACGTTCATGCCAGCCCTGAGAAGCTTCTCCAGCATGGGAACGGATCGAGAAGAGGGTCCTAGAGTGCAAACGATCTTAGTCCTGGGGACACGCCCCTCTTCATCATCCTGGTGCTCCTTTAGGAGTCCTTCAATGTCTATGTTGGCCATACGATTTGATTATTTTTTTTTAATTTGATTTCTGCAAAAAAAAAAAAAACGATGGAAAAAGACAGACAACATTAAAAGACATCTATCTATTTATCATCTATGCATGTTTATAGATCCATTTCATTCGTTGTTGGAAACCAACAGATCCAACAACAAAAGTAGTAAAAGAAGAAGAAATATAATTGATTGAGGTTCAACAACTTACAGTGAAAAAAAACAACGAATTAGCAGTATGAATTATGAAATAAAGAAGGAGAATGACAAGAAATGGTGAGGTAAAGGTGCTCGAGCGGAGGGGGCGGGTAGCTGCTGGCTGCTGCACGCCTCTTCTGTAGTCTCTCTCTACCTCTCTCTCTTTGTTTATTACTTTATTTCACTACCTCAGTCCAAGTCTATGGATGGAAAAATATCTAGTTTTCTGTTTCTAAAACCCCAAACTAATCAAACGCCAACAGTAATTGTGATGTAACTCACACCACTTTAAAACAAAATACCGCGCCTGCTTGCATCCGCTACTGCCGCTGGTTTTTCTTTCCTCTCACCACTCCGCCGCTGGTCATATACACGACTTATTGCTTCGTTGATATTTTATAATAAAGTATATTCAGATAATTTTTTTATTTTTATTATTAGTGTATTAAAATGTTGTAAGAAATAAAAGAAAATTATTTTTTGAAAGGCTTTTAAAATAAAAATAAACATATCTTTAAATTATTTTTTATTTAGAAATATATTAAAACAATACATTTTTATTTTAAAAAAACACGTGGTGGATTTAGATGAACAAAGCATATTCGCATTGCATGGTGGCATCTCACACGCTTGTTACTTTGGTTTATGAGGTAAGTACCAGCTAGTAAATAGTAATGTTCCCTTGTCCTATCGCTTTCCAATTACCGGGTTCGCAACGGCCCACCGTTTTGTTTTCTCCCTATAAAAAACAAACGAGGCCCATATAAATACCACCCTGTCCCTCTCGCCTTTTTCTTTTTCTTTTCCCAAACGCTCATAATAGAATCGTGGCCCATGATCGCTATTCAGTGATTCCTCGCTTTCGTTTTTTGCTCATGGAAATTAAATCGCTTTTTTTTAATTGGATAGAAATATCAGGCCTACAATTTCCAATGCATGGGTCTCACCATAGCCCAACAAAGCATATCCTCTGCGAATTCATATCCTATTATAAGCATGCGACTCCTTGGCTATTGAAATTTCCTGAAATCCATCTTTCCCATCACCCACCAGACTCTCACCTCAATAGCACCGTCTCAGCAAAGTCTCCACTCATAGTCACAGCAGCATCGAATGAAAGAACAAAATGATGGCGGCAGTTCCTCTTCTTTATAAATATAGTTATAGTACACTTCATGAGTAGATAATACAGCCGTACTATAGAAGTCTCATGGATCTAGCTAATCTGACTCGCAAATTCTTCATCGTTTGGGACGTTCCAAAGTGACAGGCAGGATAACTTCACCAATTCATTTATACACGTTTGGGAGGAATGTAGGGCACACGCTCATCTTCACATAAATTCTGAAAAAAGCCAGTATAATGGTCAGTCCAGGTGGAGCAGAATATACAAATCGAAGAATGTAACAACTCATTAGGTACAGCAGATAATGAACAGTGGTGTCGCATTCTATTCTTGACACGCAAATCATGCAAGACCAGCCGTAACATTCAGCTCTTAAAAAGAGGAAAGGAATTCAAAGAGAGAAAAGTTCAGGCGTAAGTTCTCTTCTACGGCTGTAGATTATTGAAGATGATGAGGGTGAAAAAAAAAATCAAAAGCTATATCATAAACTAAAATCTCCGAAATCCCCATGAAGTCTATTCATCGATCTTCTATCTATATCTCATCACAACCAAGACCATTTCAAAAACTTAAACACCAACAGAAGATGACAGCTTCCTTTTCAATTGCCATCATCTCATGAAATCCAATGGATATAGTGCGAAGTCCTTTTTTTAATAATCCCAGTATGCTGTCAGATCCAAGTTGCAACCAAGAAGATGAGGAGGAAAGAAAGAAATTTCAACTGCTCATTGTCCGAGAACAAACAATTTAACATGCAAAAGATGACATGACCAGTAGAACAAGAGATTGGATGATGCTAAAAAACAAACTATTTAACATGCACAAGATGGCATGACCAGTAAAACAAGAGAGTGGATGATGCTATAATGAAACCATAAATTTTTCAAATTCCTGGCTTATATTCAACATAAATGGTCTCTATGAAGTTTTGCAGGTTCCCCCAGCAAAGAGTAGCAAGTAGTAGCAGTTCACACCGACTCAATACACTATAACATTTAACATCGTATCAACACATAATGTCCACAAACAACCAATAAGGATAGATAGATTGTGTGCGCCATTAGCATGCAAATGAAGCACAAAGTTATCAACACTTTATCTTAACTGGAAAGGGTTATCGTTGCCTAAGATGCAAAATTGATGTATATATAAGTGAAGCTTAAACAATGCATCTATATAGCACTTGGTATGATGAATTATACCTGTAAGTCCTCTGGAAGTGCCTCTGAAACAGCAAGTGTGTAACAACCAGGTACAAATCTTCCTGGAACAGATTTAAAAGAAGAACTGAGCAAAAAGAACTGCTTTTCCAATAACATATTCAGATCAAAAATTGAAAATGGGCACAAAAAAAACACCCTAAAGAATTGGAGGGGCAATATATTGAGGTGCTAAAGTATCGACAACCATTTTGGGTATCAAATGATGGCTTGGAAGGAACAGGAATTGTGTGTGTAGCCATGCTTGCTACATCTAGACATCCAGTCGATCTAAGCCTAGAGATGGAGCCCCCAAAATCGTCCATAGTAATGACAGTTTTATAGAAGATTGATTTGGGGAAATATTCTAAGCAAAAGAAATGAATCGAATTATGGTAGTTTTAACAGAACAATGTACAGGATATCAAGATTCCCGAATCCTCCACTTGTATTATTATGTGGAACCTGATACTCAAATAAAGATGCTTCAGCTAATAGCTTATTTGTGTCGCACATTTACACATGCTGTGTTGATTTGGAGCTATAACCAGCCTAACAACACTGAATCCACACCAACAAAAATGACTTTCATTATATAAAAAAGCTTCCCTACACCCTCAATATGTTTTGGAATCAACATGTGAATGCCAGGTACAGATCAGGCATTGTGGCTCTTGCCACTCAATGTCCAATTTAGTGCTCAAGTATCTAAATCAAGTAGATAGGAAGGAAAAATACTTACAACCATGGAATCTTTTTGTTTTGTTCCTAATGGAGTATGAAATTCACCAAGTACCAAAGCAGGGCACATAATCCTCGATTTAACGAGTATACAGACCATCAAGGCCACTTGTGCCTAAAGAAAACATTTCTTGTGATAATTAACGATTGGAGTTAGTGGAACAGATAGTGGCTAAAGAGAAAATCACCCTCAAATATCCTAAACTTTCTCACGTTCAAGAATTCATGTGCTGGGCAAATTGGAAGGATACTTCTTAGCTTCAATCCTGTAATTATTCAAAATTATATGTTTGGAAGGATGGAAACAGCTCCAAAAAATCACATGAGCTAACAACACAAAGAAGGGGAAAAAAACAAAACACGGGAGGAACTCTTACGAATCCATGTATTCTTTCGCGAAAAAAAGAACAGAAGATTGGATGATTAACGGTTTTAAGCATCTGAAAAAAAAAGAGAGAGAAAAGAGCAGAACAGTCAGAAATTATAGTTCCACGTACCGATTCTCAACCAGCGAGCAGCCCAGCTTCTACTCGGATCCATGACAGAAATAATCCTACAAGAACGTCAGAAAAAGTAAGACAGGGAAGGAAAAGGGGGTATGAATTACAAAACAGAAGAAAAATAATTATTCGAAAAGGGAAGTGTTGTTGAGATTAATAGAAAAGGAGAAGAAAAGAGGGTGTCTAGCCTACCCAGTAAAGTTAGGAGTTGTGCAATCAACTACACGCTCATGATCCTCGTCCATCTTAAAAAAGGAACAATTCTCGCATCCCGACTCTCTGAACTGCACAATTATTATTATTATTATTATTTTACCGACAAATAATAGGCCCAAAAACCTTAAGTGCAACAACAGAGTAAAAGACGAGGAGGGGGAGGAGGGAAACAAGTGCGGAAACAAGGAAGAAAACCTGATCATAAGTTTTGACAAGGCGGCAACGAAGACAGGCTCTGAGTTCATGTCCAAAGCTCGTCGGAATTTGTGCGGCTGCACTTCCCATTCTCTCCCCTCCTTCTCTGCTTCTCTAATGTGTTGTGTGTGTGGTCAAGAGGATTACGGGGGTGGGGAACAGCAGCGGCAAGAGCCAGGAAGAAGACAAGACAATTCGTCGATCTAGAACTGAAAGACACGTCGTCCTTCTTCCAGTGAATGGAAAGCGTGCCTCACGCTCAATGATTAATTTGGGCCTGCCTGGCCTGCAATCCAAATGGTATCGACTTGCAATATTGCTTTCAGCATGGTGCCAAGTGCCAACCCACAGAACACAGTAGGGTTCGTTGATAACTGAGTGTCTTTGATGTGCTGCTCGATAGTCTGACTGAATTCAGAGGGAGACCAAGCATAATGTCAAGTTTCCTTGAATTTTCATTGTTCAGTCATTCAAACTCCTAATTGACTTACCCCCCCCCCCTTCATGGCCTCCCCCCCCCCCCCCTCCCCCCACCCTAGTGACAGATATTCAGGTATGCAGCATGCAGTTTTCGGGGATCCAAGTACTTCAAGATCCAAAGCAAACCTTGTTCAAGTCTATCCAATTCCCCTCACACATGTTATTTTCTTCTTCTCCCTTTTTTTAAATGGAAATTCATCTTAACCATGGCACAAGAGGATATGAAGCATGACAGTGGAATCCAGATTCAAGTTGTCGGTTGAAGGTATAGAATTGTGAACATAAGTTTTTTGCTTGATATTGATTTTCAGCTTGTCGGTGTCGTTACCATTTCGTTGCTTGTAGAAGACCTCTCCAATCTCCACTAGAACTTCAACAGGGAACCTTTCATCGACTTGAGAAATAGGATGGGATGGGATGGGAGGGGATAGATGTCGTTCATATTTTAGTCTTGCATGGTCCATCCATTCCTTGCTTATAGGAGTTAAAATATGCTTTATGAATCATTTAAAAAAATTAAAAATAAATGAAATCAGGTTGAAATAAAATAAAATCATTAAAATCAAATGAAATAGGGTAAAATCGTGATTTCAAAACCGATTTTACAATTGTAACAAAATGCATGCAGTGAAACAAAATGTCCCTCCATGATCCAGCTGTCAGACGTTTATTGGCTATGGAAATGCACAGTCACGCCACACGGTTTTCACTCTTCAGTCACAAAAGAGTTTTCAGTTTCACTCCTTCTTTTTTACCGAACAAATCCCTAATCCCCTTCTTTAGTTAACCAACCAAGCACCGATCACACCAGATAAGCTGCTTCCGGGGTTTCAGGCTATCTAAGCAAGCCGATCATTTATGAGGTTAAAGAGATCATGGAGGGAATGATGGATCTAAATGAACATTATAAGATAGGAGAATCAATATATCAGGCCAAAATTAACGGTCGAGTTTTGGTAGTGAAGAAAACCAAAGATGATGTCACAGAAGAACTAAAAATTTTGCAGAAAGTTGGTCATGCAAAGCTGATTAAACTAGTGGGGATGTCATCTGGATTTGACAGAGAAGGAAATCGCTTCTTGGTCTATGAATTTACAAAAAATGGATCGCTGGAAAAGTGGTTGCATACCACCTTTGAATCTTCCTCAACCTCTACGGGTTTCCTCACTTGGAGTCCTATCTTATTCACTGCCACTGCTACTCCTAGTTTACTGCTTCGGCTTGTTCATGATTTTTCCACTGGCATGGCTCGTGGAAAAAAAAAAACGAAGTTTTAAGCCATGTCCATGGTTTATTGAGAGCCCATCTGATCAATGCATTAATCATCTTGAACAAGAATGAATCCATCATATTAAAAAAAAGAAAACTTATAATTTGGGTATTTTTAAAAGCTGCATGAATCACGTAAAAGTAATGTTACTAATCCTAGATCAGACAACAATCTAGTCAGAAAAAAAAAAAAGAATCATCATGTTATTGGTTTTATAAGGTTATAAGTCGAAGTATTGGATCAATTATATTATAATATAAATATATTTTATAACATATAAAAAAAAATTTATATGTAAGAATTTCTCAATAGCAAATTATCTATGAATTATGTATAAATTTTTATTTGAACTATGAATTTTAAAATGCTTGAATTATATATGAATTTTTATTTGAAATATGAATTTTCAGGTGGTTGAATTATGTATGGATTTTTATTTGAAGCATATTTTTTTTTTGTTAATGTATTTTAAAATTCCTTATGATTTTATGATTTTACGATCCGTTTTTACGATCCGAGTTTGTATTACATTTTACGTGCCGTGTTAAAATCACAATTTTAATAACCTTGTTATAGGCTATAAAGCAAGTATACAACGAGTACTCATTTGCCATTATTTAGCTTTATGAAGTATGCTGGGGTCGTGTCACAATCTTGTTTGATGATGGCATATGCTTTTTGTCATATCTTTTACTAAAATATGATGAGTTAAAAAAGGGTTTTAGATTTAATTATAAAATTATAATTAATATTTAGGAGTCGTTATATAGGATTATAATTATTAAGAACTTATGATCTGCAAGAAGTTAGATAAAGAACTAGTTGTACAAGAAGAAAACGCATTATCTCTAGTGCACTTTACCTGAAATAAGTTGTATTATTGTTTGATTATTTTTTTAAGTTGGATTTTTATTCATTGATCTTTTCTAAGATTCAAGATAGATCTCTTTTTATGAGAAAGTTTCTATCTTATCGGGTTAAACATTAACCATTCTAAAATCTAAATTTTAGTATCGTATTTTTACACTTTATATCTTTAATACATAAGCGTGTACTTTATCATGTAATTTTACACCCCACAGATATTAAAGTCTACATTTAGACCCTTGAAAAAAAAAGTTGAAAAAAGATTTTTCATATTTTTGCCAAGTCTTAATGAATAATCATAATTTCGCATTTTAAAATGTGAAAAAGATGCAATTTCTATTTTTATAAAGATATACTTGGAAAAAATTTAAGATTTGGTTATATGCATAAAAATAAAATATTTTTTTTGTTTATTTAAAAAAAAGAGATTAATTTAAAACATTTAGAGATTTTTTGGAAATATTTTGAATTTTTTTGAAATATTTCAAAGAAATCAGGTATTTTAATACCAGATTTGTATTTACAGTGTAAATATACAGTCTAATATTATGTAAAATGGATAGAAAAATATTTGAAAAAATTATAATTTTTTTTAAAATGATTTTTGAAATTTTTTGAATATTTTTATTTTTTAAAAAAGGGGTCGAGCCTGATCCAACCTGGGCATTTAGGCTGGGCTAGAACTGGCTTGACCCAAAGCCAGAGTTAATTATGTTCCTGCTGCATGCAGAAATGAATTATGCATACAGTGGCCTCAATGAAAAAGAAGGAGGCAAAGCATGGAGGAGAAAGTTGTTTGGCTTGAGAGTCTTGGACATAATGAAGATGTGTGGCCAGTGGCTTAGGAAGAGTCGGTTGTAGGAGAAAGAAGAAAATATTGCAGAGGAGAGAAAAATGCTGGAAAAAAAGAGAGAGAGAGTCGTGGTTGATGGTTTTGTTGGCTTTCTATGGTGGAGCTGGTAGTGGAAAAGCTAGTGGTTGTTGGAACAACGGAGAGAGGGAGATAAAAAACTGTAGAAACAAGGGGCAAATAGGCCTTTTTAGCCAACTTTGGACCTGATTTTCCCTTTCCTTGAGCCATCAAATCCGTCTTTATTTATAGACAGTGGAAGAAGGCAATTTTGTTTGCACTAGAAAAAAATTGCAGCCCTTGATTTAACTGTTGATTCAAAGTAGTTATTCTGAAATGTTAAATCTATAGAAAAAGGCTGCCTAGGTTGATTTGTTTAGGCCGGCGCTGCCAGAATCGTCTTATTACCATTCAAACTGAAATATTCATTTGGAGTTGTATAAAAACTACAAGAGATCATGTGCGTGCATGTTTTGTTAGATTTAATGGAGAAATAAAGCATTAAAATCACCTAAAAAATAGCCATTTGGGCGACATTCTCAGCTAAAATTGGAAAAGACAATGAAAATTGACTAAACAACACGTCATCTGATCCTTTTTTTATTAATTTTTAATTTAGTCTTCCAGATTTTAATTTGTTTTAATTGAATCCTTAACTAACCCTAAACTTTTAATTTCAATGAATTAGAACCCTATAGAACTTTAACTTTTACCTTATATTTATGCATCTTTTTACAAAATAGTTATTGGTTTTAAATTTATGCAATTGAACCCTAATTGACCATCAAACTTTCAAATTCTTTAATTTCACTCCTCATTTTTATCAACTGAGTCCCTATAGTTTGACGCCTTTTGCAAATTGATCATTGGATGTAAATTTTATTAATGTGACTCTTAATTGACCCTAAAAATTTAATTTTCTTGTGATTTTACCCCTAATTTCAATCAAGTAACCTGAAAAAAATTAAATTTGATCTCTTAAAAATTCAATCCTCTCAATTAAACCCAAATTAAGTCTCTAAACTTAATTTTTTCACCAATTAAGCTTTAAATAAAATTAATTTCACTCATTTAAAATATAATTAAGTCGTTGCACCTAATTAAATCTTTCAATTAGACAAAAATTAATTTTTAAACAAAATTAAAATTTTAATTTGGCTCATGATTAAATCAAATTAGCCTATTAAAATTTTAATTATGTCCCCAAACTTAATTTTTATACAATTTCATCTAATAATCATTTAGTTTGACCTTGAAATTATATTTTTCTCTATTTTTGGCATAATAGGTACAATTAGACTTTAAAATTTCCTCCAAAAATTATTGTTTAATTTCCCGACCTACTTTCTCCAAGTTGCCAATCTTTTTGTATTTTTTTATTTTGATTTTAAAAAATAAATTTTAGAAAATAACCTAGAATTGAGTTATAACAAAGTATATGTAGATTATACCCATAAGATAAATGATATAATATGAGATGCATTGTGGGATTAAAAGAGAGTTTAAAAAATAAAAAGGGTTTCAAATAAAAGGTTAAATCCGCCTTGGATGGACCCTACTCACATCCAACCAATTAATACTCTAAAAGGTGTGGGGAAAGTATTGTAGCTTTTCCAACGCCACTTGTTTTTTTATTTGTCCATTTTTTTCCTTGTTTTCTATTTTTTTCCCTTTTTTACCCACATTTTCCCCCTTTTTTTCCATGATTGTTTTCTCTGTTTTTTTTTGGTATTTTTTTTAAAAATTATCTTTATCAATTTTCTAATATTTAACTGGTTAAAAATTTAGTTTTGGAATTTTTTTTCTTAAAATATTATGGATTACTACACTGTTTCTTTACATGATTTTTTTGATGACTTTTTTTTTCAAAATGATCTTTTTTAATTTTATTTTTTTCCTATCGAGCTGATTGAGAATTTTGCTTCATAGTTTTTTCTTTAACATACTGTGGATTGTTACAATGTTTCTCCATATGATTTTTGTTTTGCTATAATGTTTCTCCAAATAT